TGTGTGTGTGTGTGTGTGTGTGTGTGTGTGTGTGTGTGTGTGTGTGTGTGTNTATATATATATATATATATATATATATATATATATATATATATAGATTTATATAGATACAAATATATGTATATATACATGTACATATACATATAGAATACACACGCACGCACGCACACACACTCACTCATACACATATATATATATACATATATATATATATACAGATACATATACATTGTACATATATACAAATGAGATAGTTGTGGTCTCTCAGACACTACAAGGGAAATCAATCTCGTTATGCAGCCTTAGCAAGCTCACACAGGCTGAACAACTTATCAGGGACCCAAGTATGCTGGTGACTTCAGTCTTCGCACACCAGACCCAACGGGACGTGTGGCCTAGTGCAAATGTACAGAGGGGGGTGGCTTACCTTGACTCCCGTATCGTTCACAGCGTTTCCACACGAGGATAGGTCCATCCGTTTTATAGTTGAACACCTCGACAGAGTGCTGAACGCGTGCGATATATATAAAAAGACCCCAGAAAAAAATTGACATTTGAGTACGACAACCACAGAAGAGGCAGACAAAAAAACACGACATCCCAAGAACGCTGGAATTCCCTCAACACGTATCAATTTCTGTGAACACACCTCAACACGTATCAATTGCTGTGAACACACCTCAACCCCTATCAATTGTTGTGAACATACCTCATGGCATCGGTGGTCAGCTGGGAGCAGAAGGACAGGGTAATGTCCTCCAGAATATCACAGCCGGAGATGATGTCTTCGAGCGCATCGTCGTCGATGTCAAAGCAGTCGGACAGGTTCAATATCAGCAGTTGGTGTGCGGGATGTTGACGGAACAGATTCATGCCTTCGTTGCTGATACTCGAGCACCTGAGGTGGGGTGGAAGGGAGAGGGGGTTAGTTGCTGTGTGCTGTGTGTGTGCTGTGTGTGTTATAGGGGAAACTGACAGAGAGCAAGAGGGGGGATCGGTATTGCAGTAGGCTATGGGTGAACTTTGTATATCAGATAGCAGGCCATACAGATGTAATCTAGAGTAAAGTAGGATGACTAAGACTCGCTACTTTTGTTTTGACATACCGAGACATCTATGTATCTGTGCCGATACATTTGTGAATACTGTGGTATCCAAAAACGCAGATCTGCTACCACCAGATTTGAAACACGCGGTACTACACCCATCGCAGATCACAGACAGAATTTCTGTGCATACGAACACAAATCTATGCACAGATGGGCGGGGGCACATACAATGACAAGAAATCTAACAACTTACATATGAACAACATTATTCATGTTGTAAACGTTTGGTGTCTAATAACTTTCTCTCAATATGAAAAAAAACTAAAACTTACCTATGAACACTTCTCTTAGCATCAAGATTCTTACCTATGAATGTTGAGATGCTGCAGCTTTCGGCAGCGTGCCAGAATGTAATTGAGGGTGACTTCCGTCAGGTTCTTGCAGTAGGACAATTGGATGGACCGCAGTCCTATGCAGTTGTTGGTCAGGTGCATCATGCCCACATCTACAGAGGAACAGACACATGTAGCATGTCAGTCGTACAGATGAGGCACAGGTCTATCGGTGAGTGTGCGATGATGTATCTATACAGAGTAGTCTGGGATATAAAAAAAGGACAAGCGAATCGGGAGTGGTGGAAGCAAAGCCTGGTGGTAACCCTCCTCCACGCTCTCCCCAGGCCAGAAGTATAGACTGTGCATTGAAGTGTCGGTATATACATAGCTCCACAGCCAAAACAAACGTACAAGGGCACCTGTTTAGCCCGAAATTAGTGTCGAGGTCGCACAAGCGAAGGGGGGGGTGGGTAGGAACGGCTTACTGAGAATACCGTGTCGTTTGAATGATATGATCTTGGATAGTGCGATACTGTGCGTCATTGCGAGTCCTATAACCATCCCTACAGTGCTACATCCCCCAGTTACACCAGCGATTGTATTGCACAGGTTCCCTTACGTGCCCCAGAGTGCATACATTTGTTACCTGGCACTGCGGCTATACCTTTGTATTCGAAAGGATCATGTGGCAGGCCACTAAGGCCACAGCTTAAGAGTTCATACCCGTGATTTTCCTGCAGTTGTTGAGATTGATGTGCTGTATATTCTTGCAGTGCTCGCCCAACATTTGTAGACCGGCCGAGGATACCTCCCTATTGGGTAAGCCGATTCAGACGAGATGAATTACACAGCAGAAGCGAAATCGCATCAATAGATACTTGATATTTTATGGCTTTATAATGTATGTGCTGAGAATTGCGTGAAACATGATAGACATACAACGACAAAGATACATCACCCGAAAAGGGTATATGCGCAATGTACAGCTAATGAAGAAACATAAACGATAAACCCCGGGAATACGTGCGGAACAGCATTGACAGCTGTAATGACTGCATACATACATACATACATACATACATACATATACACACACACATACATACATACATACATACATATATATATATATATACGTGTATATACAAACAGATAGATCAAACAAAAATTTATTTATTTACATAGATACACAGATACATGGATATATACATACATGCATATACACACAAACACAATCACACACACTTGGAACGAGTAATTTAAAACAACATCGCTGTTGGCGATGCAATACAAGTATCCACCCGAATACAGAACACATAACGTAAACGGGTTGCACGTCATCGCACGGGATATCATAGCACCTACCAGCAACTAAACAGAGAAATTTCATTCAGGTTGGCTTTAAGGGCAACGGCCTCCAACCCCTCGTCGCTCACGGCCCAACAGTTCTTTAAGCTCAGATTGCACACCATCTCACCGTAGCTGTGTAAAAGATTGGGTGTGCAGGGGGTCAGAGAGGGGGACTCCAGATACAGCACATGGAGTATCCGAGAACCAGTGGCAGTACTGATATATGATATCGTAGCTGATTAAGTGATCCGAGTGAGAGTTAAGGCTTCAAGGGAGAAACTTCCGGAAATAGAAAATCAGAGAATGTGGCATTGCACGCTAAACGACCCATCCCAACGGCGACGATTCCATCCGAACACAACACAGACTGCTTGGTTACTTACATCCACATCTCAGATATATACGCAGATACCTCTACTCTGAGCAAACAAACCCCTAAACCCGCATCTCAGATATATACACAGGTACCTCTACTCTGAGCAAACACCACCTCACGCCCCCACGGGCACAGTACGCGTACACCCCTCCTGATTAAAGATAGACCCACACATCGACCATCTCAGCTCAACTCATCTCAACTTAACTCAATCGCAGATGCATTAAGCACAACTTATCCATCTTCTCACACAGACGTTGTACGTATGTTGTACCACATACCTACTGACTCGCAGACCTCGGATGTATACAGCACCAAATAATCTGCCCTTTCACACAGACTGAATACGTATCAAGCCCAAACTAAGCACCATCTCACACAGCCCACGTTGTATTCAGCATGACTTAAACAAACCTTCTCACGCAGACCCTAGACGCATCAAGCACAACTCCAGTACCTCCACACACACCCCTCCTATACTACTCACCTGGCCATCACTTGCACCAGCACGTCGTCGTTGACCAGCCGGTTCTGCTCAGCGAACGAAGAGTTGTACCACACCACATCGCTCTGTGCGATGTCTTTCCACTTGTGACACACCGCCATGCACTGTTCAGAGTGGCAGAGGTAGGGCATTGATTGGTGTGAGGGTGTGATCCCGGCGAAAGGTGCATGATGCAGACATGCTAGTGGCATGTCAGAGACTGGGAGCGTGAGACCAAACGCAATCACATCGGGTGCACAACTCCCTGTTGAGCGCAACTTTGATGCGAGCATGCACAACGGATACTACACAGCCTTTAAGAAGAGGTGCGACGGCCACTCTATGAGATACGATGACAACGCGCACATGCACACGCCTATATACCCCACACTCTGGACTGAACCACGGGGTCGATTCACTTGCCGCATGCACTTAAAGCACGGTTCTGGGGTTATGACACACACGCTGAAGTTAGCATAGACGGACAACTCCGCGGGTGCACCCAGACCAAGACACACACTCTGGAGATACCACACGTTAAATATATAGGTATATATATGTATAAATATTAAGAAAAATGATTCCCACACTCGCAGAGACTCGCACAGTTCTTGCATATATTGGATGAGGATGCTTCAAATACTGACACACATACGAGTGTACACAAGTATAGAAGCACATAGATTCTGCTAAATTGACTGTACTAATTCCATACTAAAATATATGAACACTAATCCATGGCACACCCTGTGGGCATATACACGAACACACTTTCGAGTGGGGGATATCATCGCATCTTAACAAATGTGGTCCACAGTTCCATGGCACACACTGTGAATATGAATGCACCTGCCCTTCTCTTAATAGCCGCTGCAATAGGCATACAAACAGACACCCCGTGCGAGACGCATGTCATGAACACACACAAGCACCCGTATCACCCGTACATATAAGTATCGGTGACCATAGACAGATGCTTTTATGTGTATATCTCATAATAGTTACAAATACAGGCATCACAAACAGGGTTCTGAGCCGCACCCCCTGAAATTGTACACACCCCCCCATTTAAAATGCAGAACACCCCATTTGAAAACATGGGTACAAACCCGTCATTCAAACAACAACGCAGCTGCCAGATGAGGACACCCATCTTGCGGTAACGCCCGCCTTATTCATCTAAGTACGCGTCGCCCAGCTACACCAACAACACGTACGCATACTCATACCCATATGCAGGATCTTGGCAGGCATATATATATATATCATACGTATTCATATATACCTCGACTGGTATATGCATGGGCTAACAGTACACACATCCGTGACTGGCAGTGCCATACCTTGTACCGGTCGCCCACGCTGAGGTAACTCAACACCTTGGCCATGAATTCACTGTCCATGATGGGCGTGTCCATGTGCGCGTTGACAGTCGAGTTTTCACTCGACAGATTAGACGGCGCGTGGGAAGAGGAGGCCGAGAACTGATTGTACCAATACAACAACGGTTGTAAGTAATCGCACGATGATTGAGGAAGTGATCAATTAGTGGGTGTGCTTCGTTACATGCACAATTAAAATAGAGGATGGAGTTACTGCAGATGTGAGTGCGATGTCATGCAGGAGTGGTTTGTTGTGTATTCAGCAGCCAACGTAGCATGTGGATAGTGGTTGACAGGCCCTTCCGTATGACAGAATTGCGGGAGGTAGGAAAATCTATATATATATATATATATATACATAATACATGATACATATACATAAACATAAATATACATATATCATACATTGCATACAGAAATGGCTACACACTTACGTCCATGTTCCTGAGCTGTTCTTGCATCTCGGATGAGAAGACCGCAATACTGGGCGATCGTTTGCGAATGGCAGCTGAGCGGATGCGGTCCACAGGTGTTTTGTGGAAGACTATTCCGCTGGATATCGACGTGTTTGCTGCGTGTGTGCAAAGGGTAACAAAGGTTATAGTGTGCTTTGTGCCTAATGCTAGAGTAACTTGCCTATACATCGCGTATCGGTTGAATAGGTAAACGACAGCGCTAATGTGGGCAGACGAAGGATAAACTGGCCGAATGGCTTTTCACTGAAGGGGGGACATAGCCATAGTACTCATGGCGTTCTATAGCGAATAGTTCGCTCCCAGTTTACACAGGAGCGCAAGCGTGCGGGACTATTAGTTCAGGGTTGAGAGTGTAAGGTTCACCCTGATCCATGTGGGGGCGGTTTTGAGTAGTGGCGACCCATACTCACCTGGAGAATTAGTATGTAAGCCTCTTCTATAGGAAAAAGAAACCCTCTCTTCGATAAAAAAGATAGAAGAAAAAAACAATACAACGAGGTTCTGCACCGGATAACGAGGTGCACGTGCTTACACATCCAATGCATGGATGTGTGTATACAAAACACTAGCTACAGTACCACAGTATCGAAAGTCACCCGCACAACCAATACACATGTAGCAATATCCGTACCTGCTTCTTCCGGTACAATAACCTTGTCTGGGCCCATAGACATGCGCCTATCTCTCCTCCGGCCTTCTCCGATATCAAAATCACCGTTGTAACCCATTGGCAGCCCCTCGGCATCGCTCCCGCTCCTGCTATCATCCTCCGAGAGCGTCACGCTATTCGTCCCGCTATTCGTCCCGATATTCTCACCGGAATCCACCGCACCCGCTCTGTCCGTTCGCTTCCTAATCCCCTGGCCCTGTGCCCCCGACCCACTCTCCGACGCGCTTTCTAATTCGCCCGACGGACTAGCGGCCCGGATTTCCTTCGCACTGTCCTGTTTCTCCCCACAGTCACTCTCGTCTATACTCAACCGGTGGCCCCCATCAGCCCCCGGCCCACGGCCACCCGACGCCTTATCAGTTGCGCCGCTGTCTCCACTCGAGCTCTCCCCTATACCATTCCTTTTATGTTCACCCGTGCCCGTCTCAGCATCGGTATCTATATCCATACGCGACGCGTGCGGCGTTTGCCCCGGATTGTCGGTGTGCATCTGTGAATGTTCCTGTGAGGTGCTCTGTGCTGGTACACTTTCCAATTGAGCGACCACCTCAACATTCGCTTCTCCGTTCGCACCGGCCGTTGTTGTTATTGCTTCGTCGTTGTCGGGGACTTTCATCGCCGCCATGCCGCTCTCCAGGCCAGTTCTAATGCCGCGTGCTTCAGAGACTTGGCTGTCACTGTTGGTTCGGCCCACACCTATGTTTTTACATGTATATACAAAAGTCAAATATAGTGAGATATCCATAAACATGAGGGGATTGGACAGTGATTGCAATATGTTTATATACGTATATATATATATATGTGTGTGTGTGTGTGTGTGTGTGTGTGTGTGTGTGTGTGCGTGTGTGTAATTAGTAATAGTAGGAGCGTGGTAGGTTAGGGTTTTTGCGACGCGTACGGTTACCGGTATACTATTTGTATATATATGTGTACTATATTACTAGTA